CCCCCCCCCCCCCCCCCGCCCCAGCCCAGCCCAGCCCAGCCCGTGCCTGCCTTCCCTCCCCCTGCCCAGCTCATGCCTGCCGAGGGTGAATTTAATTTTTTTTTTAAAACCTCCTATGGATAATGCGCACCCCGACTTTGATGTTTAAAAAACGGGGGAAAAGTGTGCACTATACTCGCAACTTTACGGTATCCGCTATTAGGGAGGTAAAATTCCATTTAATTAGTTAATCGATTAAATGTAATGTTTAATTGGTTAACTGATGAAAGGGAGGTGAATGGGGACTGCTCTGGCTAGGCTGAAGTGCCCAAGCCTCCTGTCTGCAGAAAGCAGGGAGCTGCTGTAGTCCCCACTTATTAACTGCAATCAGTAAGCATCACCAGAGACAGCAGCGCAAGGTGGCAGCAGCCCTTGGCCGTGGAGAGTCCAAGCTCCCCACAGACAGAGGCTGCACCATGGGATGTGGAGCAGCCTCTGTCCACAAGAAGCTTGGATCCCTCCCTCCCGGGGAACTCCCCCCACGGACAATAGGAGGGGCAGGGGTGGGGGGAGGCAGCATGGTGGAGCCAGTGCTGGGGGAGCCAGCTTTTAAGCTGGCTCCTCCTAACACCAGCTCCTGCCTGCCCCGCCCCCAACCCTCCTCGTAGAAGGCAGGAAGGGAGGTGGGCCCATGGAGCCAGCCTGAAAGCTCCATGTGCATATCAGCTCCAGCCTACCCCCCTTATCAGAGGCAGCAGTGCTAGGGGAGGGGAAAAAGCCAATCTGGCGCTTGTGGGAAGCCTGCTTAGTCAGCTCCTGCAGGAAGATTTAGGATACAGCTTCTTGCATTCTTTCCCTGCCAGTTCAGTGACCTGCCCTGCCTACTCCTGGTAGCAGAACCCTGCAGATGAGCCAATACCCATGTCTATCCATGCAGATATTTGTATCTGTGCAGGGTGTGAAAAGGTTGGTGACCACTGCTCTACATCAAGGGTGGGGAAACCTATGGATCTGACCCCAAAGGCTCAGGGCTCTTCGCATTCCCCAGCAGGGAGCAGGCACTGGCACTCCCTGCTGCAGGGAGAGGTGGAAGGGGTGGGGGGTGAGCCTCACATGCTGGAGTCAGGCAAGTTGGGGTCTATATTTCTGTGGTTCTAGGTACTGGAAATATGACAAGTATAAGCAAGAAAAAAAATTGTAAAAGGCAGGAAAGAAGAGGGAGACTAGTGATATTCCAAGAACATATTTACTTAATTTTATTGGCTTTCTCTGTTCAAACCAGAGCGTTAATAAGAAGACATTCACCTTCTGATAGTATTAAAACAGCCAACATGAAAAAGCTTAACTTCAAACCAGTCAGAGCAATTGCCCAATTATCTAGATAAGCTCCCAATTTGTCCTTAAATACCTCATCAGTGGGTTTGAACCTTTTTTTCATTTGCAGGCCCCTAAAAAATTTCAAATGGAAGTTGGTACTCTCAGACATAGTTTGCCGCAGATTAAGATCATTACTTCTGTTTTGCAGACTGTTAAGGGTCCATTCACAACAGGCTGAAAACAACTGCTCT